TGAATTCCTTGAAAAGATCAAATTCAGAAATATGTTTCTTTTTTTTTTTATGTGAAAAGGTCAGTTGGAAAAATATAGAGGGAGAGTAGAAAGATCCACTGTTTTAAGGAATATGTCAAATTTATGAACTGGAGAATGTGAAAACCTAAGAAAGTATTTGGTTAAAAGGGAGAACATTTTTGAAAACCAGAGAACAGGTGGATATTGAATAAAGGCGTGATCATTAGTTATTAATTATATTCATTTCATGAAAGCTACCATCATACTTTGTTGAGTGTGTAAGTATGAATTATGCTAACAAGGTCACTACAATCTCTCTCCACATTGCATAAAATAAAACAATTTTCAATTAAAATGTTTACGTTATGCCCTATACCATGGAGTTTCTTGTTTCAAAAACAACACATATGTTGTATGTAATATGTACTGAATTACTAGGCACAGTACAGGGGAGATATTTTATTACCCCTTTACAAATTGCTTCTTGTGAACCTACAGTTGCTACATAACATTGTTGACATGATCATTAGGTATTCTTAATACAAAGACAAAAATGCCAGATGTATGGTATGGCCAGAGCAGTTGACATTCAAGACAGAGAGATATCTCCTGTATATCTCCTGTATATGAGTAAGATCATATGGATGATTAGAAAATTATCCCCAATAGGCTGAAGGGTAGGGCACAAAGGTAGCATAGGATAGATTTTAGCATTTATTAGATCCAGGTTACATATAAGTAAATCAGGTAAACAGAAAAAGAACCTTGTTTGCCTCTGTTTTAAGATTGTGTGGAGAGGCTTAAAATGAAAACTCATGTTGCAACCTACTGCAAAATAAAATATCTCATGATCAATAGCGTCTGGCTCCTAAGTAAAGCCTGTTTTCAATATTTTTTTATTCCATGGTTTAAACCTCAAGATCATTAGATACCTTAGAGAGAATGATTAGCATCACATATCTGTAGACCTGTGTGTCTCTGCCCTGTGAATGAATACAAAGAGTTAGGTCACCAAATTATCAGGGACCACTTCACTTCCTATACTACTGGGCACTGTCAATAACAATCAACAGGAATATACATTTAGATTCCATAGCATTTGTACCATGTTGTTCATTAAATTGTCTAAAAAAAATGCAGCTCATGTCACATAACAAAAAGGAAAATATAAAGCAACTATGAAAAACCTTCTAAATGTGGAAAATGTTAGGCTGTAATGTCTCTGTCATTCTGAATTATCTGCATTTTTTTCTTTATTGAGATAAATAAATACCATTACAGAATATAAATCTATTAATAGTGATCATAATTATCTAGAGCATGTTCAAAACGTACAAGAAAGATCAGTACGGAGAAACATAGAGCCATATAAATATTACACTTTGGATTACATTACCATTGGTCATTGGTTAGGCAGACTAAGTCTCCATAACTATGTTTCATTCGTGCTCAAGCGTTTTTAAACACATGCAGAAAATAGGTATATCAGTATAGAAGAAAACAAATACTATACAGATATATAAATAAGAGAGTAAATGTTAACACAAAGCCATTTGTTAACCTCCAAAGAATAACATAATTTTAGAGAAGATGTCTGTTGGTGGTCTTGCATATCCTAGATTCGGCGCAAGGGGGTTAGTATGAAACTCTGGGTTTAGGCGCACTGCTGGGCCAATGGGGGAGGGGGCACGAATAAGGAGAGAGGGATGAGAGGAAAACACAGGTTATGTGTAATTACATGTAGTATAACAGTCAGAAGTGTATTCTATGAAGTGGTCCTTAAAATTAATAAATTCAGAAGTGAGTAATGTGGAGTCGTTGTGTTAAACTAGAAAGAGAGAAGTTCAAGATCTTCTCCCTCTCTGCAAGAACTCTATCCACGATCCCAAACATCATTATATAGAGGGTACCTGAGTGAAATAGAGTAACATAGTTCTTCCATAATCTTAATGGAATCTACTTTTTGAATCCATTCCCTGATCAAGGGGACTGTGGGCTTTTTCCAGCACAAAGGAATTCATAGATTGGCTGCTGTCAGTAGATGAGTGAGCAGCATTGTTGTGGGTTTGGACAACGGTATTTGAAATAAGTAAAATAATAATGGCTTTGGGTCAAGTGTGAGTCGAACACCTATAATGATGTGAATTAATTTAGTAATGTGTTCCTAGTATTTGTGGATAGACGGGCAGGTCCACCATATATGTGCTAATGTTACTTTAGCCTGTATGCAATGCCAACACTTATTTGTTGCCATTGGAAAGGCGGGGTGCAAATGGGCTGGTGAATAATGCCATCTTGCAATTCTTTTGTAGTCTCTCTCTTGAATAATGGAATTGATAGAGGATTTATGTATTCGGAGGAATATTTAGTCCATTCATCTTGTGATTTGGCAATATCTAGGTCTCTGGCCAAGGATGGGGTGAATGGTGGAGGTGTGTCGTAAAGATCTTGGTGGAGGAGTGTGCTGAACATCGAGAGGTGTCCATGAGATTGTATGTAATGTATGTGACAGATCACCCTGCCCTGAATTATTGTTTCATATTGAATGGTCCGGTATACGAACATCACTGAACAGATTGCCCCACAGTCTTGTGCCGCTCATTGACCTGCTTGACCTCATTCGCTCCTACACAAACCGCAATTACTCTAACATTCTGTCAGGATTACAAAGTGATACAGGACGTAAAATTGTATCACACCTAGGACTAAAAGGTAACAGGTAACAATAGAGTTCTGATTGGTTGAAAATGGCCTTTGACCCAAAAACTTCGTCATCAACATGGGCAGACTTAGGGGTATAATTTGGCGTGGATGCGCAGTTGCCAGCGTCCATCAACATGCTGCAAGAGTCCATCAACATGTCTGCTATACAGACGTATGCCCGCTGGGGGCGAATACCGCAATTCTAAGCGGTCGGCTAGGTGGCCGCCGTTCGTATGGACGAACACGAGGCAGCGGCCATCTTGTTCTCGCAAATGCCTAAAGCGGAGTTTGGTCGTCGAGTGTATGGAACTATTATCAGGCACTTATTATCTGAAAAGAGCGGCGTTCAGTGGGAGCAAACTCCCGAATGAGGAGCACACGACAAGTGTATGCACAAATCGTTATCTTTGTTATTTTATTATGTTTTGTACTCCCGAAAGAGACCGACCGTTCCACCTGAACTCATGGAACTCTTTTGGGTAGGCACCTCGTGTGCGTTTTAAACTATCCCCCGGTGGCATTTCAGCTATGTTCGTGAGATCTGAGCGCTTTTCGGATATGTTGGGCGCTCAGATCCAGGCTATCCGGGGATATAGGACTTGACAGGGTACCTAATTGTTAAGTGTATATTTTGGGGTGTTTTTGTCATGTATGTCCTGGACCTGAAAGTTAATGTAATTATGTTTTTACTTTTATTGTAGTCCCCTCTCAGGTCCTGGAATATGTAATAAGCAAACCCTTGCATGAGTACTTGCATATAAGGCCAGTTGTGGCTGCCAATAAAACAGTTCAACTTCACCCTCAATACAGAGCCTCGTCTTGTGATTGTAGGGAACAGCTATTGCTGCTTTATTACCACTTGGATTACTGCTTGGGAATACTACAGTATTACTCATACTAGGGGGAAAGGACATCTCTGGCGACTCTTCTCTCGGGATGGCCACCACAACGTACAATTTGTAATGTTTCGTGTGGTGTCCATTAAGTCAGGCATTCAGGTGATAAAGTGGATCAATTGGTTTTATCTGAACTTTTGCAGGACAGAATGAGTTCCAGTGGATAATAGACCGGTGAGGGGAGTGATCCCTGTAGTATGTTGTAGCAAACCCAGGGTAAGGTATTTTGCTGCATGGAAGGCCTTATCTGCATTTTTGTATGTCTTATTTTTTACATTTTTTTTTATTAAACACAAAGAACTGTGTTTTATATCGCAAAATGCACCAATATAGCTAGTTTTTCTTTCTCTTAAAGTGCAAATCTGACTAAATTTATAAAAATAGAGATGCATGCATAAAAATTATAAAATAAATACACCCGAATAGCATAGAACATAAAAAGTATAATAAAAAAATCACTTTACTCTACACGTTTTTCTTTGAAGTCCTTTGTTGTCAGAGCAATTTAAAGACCTCTGATACTGGACTTCCGTGAAATGCTTCTGACAAAAAGCTTAGCGAACCGCCACGAGTGTTATTATTTTCAGGATGTATTAAAAGTGTCATTTTGAGGGAAAAAAAATGAAAAAATAAATATGTTGGTGCTTGCCAAGAGATTAGTCTTTTTTCCTTTCACACTTCTTAGAATATAGACTTCAAACCATTTTATAGAGTAGCTTAAAGTATGACTTCTCTGTAAGAAGAATGAAACATTAAAAACAAGAAAATCGGTTCTAGACAATGATTATTCCACCGAAATTACTTTGTATTATGTTCTTGCTTTTATAGTTTAGAATTGTCTAGAAACAAAAATCAATACAACTCAATGTAACTGAGTTCCTACCTAATATTAAAAATGTAGGGAAAGAACACCTATCTTCAAATGAAATCCATTGCTTCAAGAGAAGGTTTGCAAGTTCCATTTACCCCAAGTATAGCAGATTTACTCTGTTAGTACTTCTTTTTGTACATTTACCTATATTTTTAAAGATGGTGTTAATGGAACCATGACTTTACAGATGCAGTTTGAAATCAATGACTGTCTTATACCAAATTAAAGAACAGTAATAATAATACTATTTGCAAATTTTTAATAATATTTAGCATTTGCAACATTATAACACTACTTGTGCCAGTAGGACACATATTATTGGCTACAGAAGAATCAAAGGATGAAATTACCTTGTCACATATCAACCATGACTTTTGAGCAGGCACTAGAAATGCTTTAGGGGAAGGAAGGAAATTGATTGATGTTAATTGATGTTTGAATTATTATTTGCATACAACAGATTGCATGATAATATATTGAATAACTGATGATCTAATTATATATTTCTTCTTTTGCTCTTATCTCTTCAGGAAATCTGTTGGAGTGTTCTGTTGTGGACCCAAAGGACTGTCCAAGGATCTTCACAAACTATGCAACAATCCTAATTCTTACGGGACAACGTTTGAGTATAATAAAGAATCTTTCTCTTAACTTGATTAAACACAAGTCACAGATGATCCAAAGCACAGACACACTATAGATGGAATTCAACTTAATTGAATAGTTCCATATCAATACTCATCCCTATGACTGTTCTTTTCTGGTACACTACAAGAGAAAGTTGGGTAGACAAATGTTTATAAATAGCAAGCATGCCTTCAGTCCAAAGATTACCAAACTCCAATAGACGATAAAGGAAATGACTGGGCACTGGTCTAAAGTGTGGGCAGATTTATTGGATGAAGAACACTATTGTTCCAGCTATTAACAGAGCCTTGATAAATGGTATGTTAGGATCCTAAACGTTGCTGCCCTTCATTCAATAAATCTGCCCACCCTTTGCACCTGTGCTTGGTCGTTTCCTTTATCGTCTTTTCTAAAACACTGACTAAGCATACATAAATTAAATTATACCTGTTGGCAGATAAAGGATGCTTGGTTAGCATTTTACCACCTATTTGGGGACCATTGAACAATATGATTACAGATAGGTAGTTGTAAAAAAATACAAAATATATGAAATAAAACTATAGACGTGTGTCATTAATTTATTTAAAACAAATATCCATTTTCATTTATTTGAGTTGATGCATTTCGAAAGATCAATGTAGAAATTCCGATAGAACCTCAAAAACAAATGCTTCACACCAGTCTCAGTAAAAAGTGAAAATTATACAGTAATATTTTTAAATGCAATATACAAGGGAAAATCGAACAATCAAAGTTATACAAAAAGGAATAAATCAGGTGGAGACAGCTGTATGATTCTGTCTAGCTAGTGAGCAAGAATAAAAACAAACGTGAGATCATGAAGTTAATCTTGTTATTGATCTACTTCAGTGATGGCTTTTACAAGTCTATCATCTTCCAAATGTCCATATTCCTATTGATATAGATCAGGGTGGCTTTCATAAAAATGTCTTAAGTTCAACGTGGTCCTATTTCTATTGATCTAAATCAATAACGTCAATTGAGAGTGCATCAAGTTCAACTTGACCATATTTCGACTATTCTAAATTAGTAATAACAAGCGTAACTCCATGAAGTTCAACTTGACCTGTGTCAGCAATTGCTAAACCTTTCTAATAACATTACTGCAACAGGAAGGTATTTGTAAATGTTTACAAACATGATTTTACATACTGAAGCAAGCTAGATAAGTGCAGCTGGATCTTAACGTAAATAGGAAATGCTAAATGAAGACAATTGTGTCTCTAACCAAAGAACCAAAAATCACCTACAGTAAAGTAGGTAAAGCCTTCAGGTTTTATATGTAAACTAGGAAATTGCACACATCATGGACATTTAGTGTTCAAAAATGAGGACTAGATTCTGGAGCACTGTAGTTTAGTACGTAAGAAGTAGACGTCGTGCCTTTGTCAATGATATTTATAATGTATGGATTTGTAATGTTTTTCTTGACAAAAATATGAATTACTTTGTTTAAATACCCTAGTTTGGGTTAAATAAACAGTGATCGTATTTGTTTTGTTCTTTACCTAATTAGTCTTAATTATCTAAAACACATTTACACATCTTCCACCCATTTACACTAGGTGTATAAACCAGTAAAGCTGGGAAAATTATTTACGCTCCTATCTCAAAATTACTACCTGTGGTATTCATTGAGCTTGCAGTTGGAAAAACCAGAGTAACTTGCAATGTCTTGCAAAAGAAACATTTTACAAACTGCAAAATACCGGGCAAACTACCGGAGAGAGTTGGTAACATCAAAAGGAAAAAGTTATCTGGCAATGAGAATATTAAACTAAAACGCACAAAACCATTTTAATGATACAAATTTAATTAATTATACATTGTTCCATTATCTTTCACATTGGATTGCTTTATCACCCAGTAAAACACAACAGACCAGAGATAAAAGATTAAATGACAAAAAAATATAAATCGTTCTGTGTATACATAGTGGTATATGGGTAGTGTCAGCTTGGTTTATTAATATATTTCTCTCTCCAAGTTACATATCTCTATCTCAGCCCCATTTATCATTGTCTATCTCAATTATAAACCACAAAAATAATATATAACCACTATATATGCAATATACTCCACCCACTTAAAATAGTGTGCCCTCTAAACACTGAAAACAAATAGATAAAAACCAAACATATAAGTGAGGTGAGCAAAAAAGTGGATAATATCACCTAACAATGAGCAATATATACCACCTTACAATGACAAAAGATATAATATGTCTAGAAATGTAGAAAAAAACAATAGAATAGACATAGAGTAGTGTAGTTCCATCAGGTACCATCAGCCCGCAAGGTATAAATTACACTCACAGGAACCTGGATGATTTCAAGACAATCAGAGAAATCTCAAATGTGTGTAGATTCAAATATTCTCAAAAGCAATATATTCCAGCTTTAATAGAAAGACAAAAGGCACAAAAATAGTGCAGCTGGTAAATATAAAAGATACAATTTATTAGAATGCACTTTTGGATTGGAGTAAAAACAGGGCATCTCTCCGTATACAACGGATCTGAATAGTGTGAATAACACCAGAGATTGTCAGTGATACAAGAATGGAGTCCCAGGGTAAAAATAAAACCAGAGTCTCTGCAATGTTCATCCAACGCTTTACGTCGGATTAGACTTCTTCATAAATGTGATACTTCTTCAGGGATGTGATACAACCCTAAAGAAGTCTAATCATACGAAACACGTTGGATGAACATTGCAGAGACTCTGGTTTTGTTTTTACCCTGAGACTCCATTCCTGTATCACTGCCGATCTCAGGTGTTATTCACACTATTCAGATCCGTTGTACACGGAGAGATGCCCTGTTTTTTTTAAATCTTTTATATTTACCATCTGCATTATTTTTGTGCCTTTTGTCTTTCTGTTACAAGCTGGAATATACTGCTTTAACATGTTAGTGAAAAACCATTCAACAATGTCAAACCGCATTATGATATAATTCGTTATATAGAAGTAAACAATTTGCAAGACGAAAAAAAAACTAACTTTTTGTTAATCAGTTTAAATATGGAGAATACCTTTTGATACAAGTTAAGAAAAAAATATATAATGGAAAAGGTTTATATATATATATATATATATATATATATATGTATATATATATATAAACAAATTATATAAAAATAATAATATTCTACTACGTTTAACAATATCTTATTTTAATTTATTAGTGGGCAGTTTATCAGCTATGTTGTCTTCATAGTATCATGTTTTGTAAAAGTCTGCTTGGGATCTGTTGACATTTTTAAATAATGAATTTTTTTTTTTTTTTTTTAATGTTTTAACGTAGGGGTCAGTTCAATGCTTTTCCAATTTAGATGATGCTTTGTTTATGTTTTTTATTTCATTCTTTTGTCCCTAACTAATTAAAGTATGCAAGCAATGCACTCTATTAGGATGCCATAAGGCAAGCATGTCAAATTCAAACGCTAACATGGGCCAAATAAATAAGGTTTACGTTTATGTGGGCGCAAACTGATTTCAACCCGGAAGTGACGGGAAGCCGCCAGTGTCGTTATGGCATACTGATGCTCGCAGAGATATCGTGGTTACCAGGAAACCAGCTAAACCATGAGACCAAGCCAAAGTTGTAATTTGGTGATAAATCAACAAATATTAAAAAGTTAAAATGTAATCATGATAAAAACACCAAGGATGAATGATATATGTATAGCGAGAGAGAGAGAGAGATATTAAACTTTGATATATCTATCTATCTGTCTATCTATACATAAACATATATATTTTGTATCTTATTTAATAATTTAAGCATAATTATTTATTAATTGATATATTTCAATCTTCATTAAAGATTCTAATGAAGTCTAATAGAACCTGGATGGAGCCTTATTGGGCAGTTGGGCTTGAAAGTGGTGGTGGTGACTGATAGCCCCCTCCCCCGGCACATTCACAATCTGTTGCCCAGCCATTGAATTTCTACAAAATCCCAGCACCCTCTCTATTAAACCCCAGCACCCCCTATATCCCCTATATTAAACCCCATCACCCACTCTATTAAACCCCAGCACACCCTCTACAGAACCCCAGCCCCCACTCTACAAAACCCCTGCTCCCTCCCCCCCCCGTACAGCTCCCACCTCTATTAAACCCCAAGCACCCCTGTACAAAACCCAAGCCATTGTGGGGTGCATGCATCCATGCCATAAGGTAATTATTTATCTGTTTATTATCAATTACCATTTTCCCTAGAACAGTGTTGAGCTTGCTTTGTTTATTTTTTGTATTTCTTTGTTAAAAGTTTATAATTTGTTCTAATTTATCAAATGATCTTTTAAATCTGAGAGTGTAACAGATAGTGGAACATAAATTACACTACACATATTCTATTCTTGTTTTTTTTTTTTTTTTTAAATAAAACTAGGATTACTGGATGTGCATGAGAAATCATGTACAACCGATTTTTCACCAGAATGTATTGTATGAATGTACGTAATGTGAGCCTCTTAAATTATTACCTACACGTGCATGTTTTACATTACTTTTATATAACACAAATTACCCGCATTAATTAAAGTCCCATACAACTGCATTACTATTCCGAATGAATTTTTGTTCTGGCTTTTCAAATAGCTTGTATGGGTATCCCATCGCCAAAATATATCAATTCCAGATTTAAACAATACAAGCAAAGTGAAATCTGATATAGTTTTATGATGTGGATTTTATGTCCATCTATTCTATTCTACTAGTGGAAAATTATCTAAACACTTTTGGGGCTAATGATGTTGCTAGATATGCCAAACAAAGGGATTTGCCTAAACCTGGCTCTTAAAGAGTTAAACCATAGCTAACATGGTATTATTCATGACCACTACAGTAGGATCATAATAAAAAATTGTAGGATTAGAAATTGAGTTTAAACCTATTTTTCAAGAAACAATATTGAAAGCTATGGAAAAAAAACATATCGATGGAAAAATAATAGGATATTGGATATCAATAGACAAGTCCAGCTTGCCTACTTTTCTCCAATTTTTTTTATACCATCGACTCCATCAATAGATCCCCCGACTTGAACCTAATCTTTTGAAATATTCATGAGATAGTTGACCTAGAGAAAGATCCAGTTGCTACTCATCTAAATGTAATTCTATTCAAAGTCAAATTTTTAACAGGCTAGTCCTACTTAGATTAGCTTAAGTCAAATATTTCAAGTATATTTCAAATTTAAAGCGGTTCTGTCATTTTTAAGTGTGTTTGCCTATTTCATAAGGAACTTCAAATGTGACCTCTGCATTCTCTGCAGTATCAAGGATGAGGTTAAAGGTAGATATACTTACCTGAAGCTCTCCATTAAAGACACCACCATCTTCTTTCTTCAGCTACTGGTATCTCATCTGACAGGAACCTTCGTAACTGCTGTACTCTCACCAACTCGTGTGATGTGCAAGAAGTCTAGGTAGCTTCCCACCACCACTGTGTGCCCAAACAACAAAATAGTCCATAATCCCTACTTTGTCTGACAATATATTTTCATTGTCTTGGAATTTCAATGAAAGATTTTATCTTCATTAAATATTCATCAAGAGACCAAAAAAACAATATGAGGAAAAATCATCAAAGCAGCTAAAATTGTAAAATTAATAAACTTCCAGTGGTGAAGGCAAAAACTAGAAGTCGTCGTCAAATTCTTTTTCCAGAGGGAATTAATTATAACAGACTATTATATAGAGGCAAAATATAAAGTATTATAGTGTTTCGTTATGTATCTCTTTGAAGAATTATCAATATAATATCAAAGTATGAAGGTATTTCTTTATTTCTTTGGAAAATGTATCAGTATAATAGCAAAGTGTTTGCCAAGAAAGTGCATTTAGCTTTACACTGAGTACCAAATACTTCATGGGTTCCAGGTGTTATTGTACAGTTCAGTGGTACTCTTTTATTGATCTTTGAAAAATCTAAAGTGAAGTTCACTTTGCTGCTAATCAAACCTGTGATTTTAAAATGCTCCTGCTTAGATATCTCACAAACAAGATTTTGTGAAAATCCTTCAGTTTAAGATAGAATATATGGATAAACGTATTGGGACACACCTCGAAATTATTGAATTCAGGTGTTTCAATCAGATTCATTGCCAGAGCTGTATAAAATCAGGCACCTACCCATGCAGTCTGCATTTACAAACATTTGTGGAAAAAATAGGTCATTCTGAAGAGCTCAGTGAATTCCAAGTGTGGTAATACCAAGTGTGGTATTGTGATAGGATGTCAATTTCAGTACATGAAATTTCATCACTGCTAGATTTTTCACGGTCAACTGTATGCGGTATTGGAAAGTTTAGGAACAGTAGCAACTGAGCCATGAAGTGGAAAACCACGTAAAGTCACAGAGTGGAGTCACAGAGTTATGAGGTGCATGGTGCGTACATGTCACCAACAACTTGCTTATTCCATAGCTGAAGAGAACAGAGTCCAAACCTGTACTGGCATAAATATCAGCACAAAAGCTGTGCAATGGGAGCTTCATTGAGTGGGTTTCCATGACCAAGCAGCTGCATGCAAGCCTCACATCACTAAGTACAATGCCAAGTATGGGATCAAGTGGTGTAAAGCACGCTGCAACTGGACTATGGAGCAGTGGAAATGTGTTCTGTGGAGTGATGAATCACACTTCTCTGTTTAGCAATCTGATGGGTAAGTCTGAATTTGATAGATGCCAGGAGATGTCATTA